TTTGCAGTATGTTTCCACTGTGCGTATTGCATTTTGCAGACCATTTTTAGATTGTGATAGAAGGAGGAGGTCATCCGCATACATCAAACATGACAAATGATTGTTTACAAGTAAAGGGGGTTCATTATTGGATGATTCTATCTGGCATTTGATATCATTAATGAAAAGATTGAAAAGGAATGGGCTTAAACCATCTCCCTGTCTGATACCCCTTTGAACTTTGTAATATGAAAACAAAACATATTAAATATACGCCTGGACGCCCATTTGTTAATAAACAACTGATAAACGTTGTGTGAAAGTGTCACTCAAAATAAACAAGAATTGTGCGAGCTATTTAGATTTTAACTTCCATGGTAAACTGAAAAACACAAGTGGAGATAATGGCTAATTTGCATAACCATTCACTTTGTAAGAAGTTTGCTAATGCTCATAATTAAAATGGCTGTAACAGTTCCAAATTTAAACCTATTATCGTTTTGTAAAAAGTTAAATATAGTGCATAATATGGAGATCCCGTCATTACTTTTTTTTTCACCATGTTTCTTTTTTATTATTTATGTACAGCCTTGCTAAATCTTGCTAAGCATTCAAAAGAGAGAATGTTTGTACCAGTTTTCTATATTTTAAAATCGTCTTTTGAGTATGTTCCACTACTCACAATGCTGTGAAATTTTAACAGTCTATAGCCAAGACTGTTTGGATAATAAAAAGCAAAAAAAAAGAAAATTCACTCTCAAGTGCCCACGAACCTGCATCTATACCTTAAATGTAAAATAAATGATTGATCAGTGTTACTGCAGAGCATAATATCCCACACTAGTAGTATTCTGAAAAGGAATCGTGTCATACCGAAGGGTGAATATTTGGGGAAACCCTGTACATGTAAATATACCAATAAAGGATAACCCATTCAAAATCTGTGTTAAATAAACTATAGTATGTATATATATACATAGCTGTGTTAGTTAGTTTGTTTACCTCTATGGTTTGTTTAATACTTCAAACACCAGTATCAGATAACATTTAAAGAAGTGTTTTTCAATGCGTAAAAATCACCCAAAAAATATGTTTTCCGTTCTATATTGTATACTTTCCCTGGATGTTGGTTGATATTACAGTACTCAGTCTAAGACCTCGTGCTATACTTATAGTTACATTACACAATACTATCTACCAACCTGCATGTTAATTTTACAAAATACGAGTATATACACTATAATATATGCTTGGTACTTGTTATTTGATCTAATTCCGGGATATAAAAAAATGAACGAATATTGGTGTACTCTGCTATAAATCAAGTGTACGAGATCCAATCTTGCAAGAAGTGAAGAATCGCATTTGTGGGCTAAATGATGGGAAACAATTAATTTCATATCGACACTTACGTTTAGTTTTGTGTTGTTTGTCATTTCCAGTAAACTCTCACCATGGAGGTATATACCTCCATGCTCTCACAAAACATTATCATCACTTTGACCGGCGTTCCTACCTCCCATTTACAACCATTTACAACGGCGTCGCAAGAGGGCGATCTAGATATCACACAGGTAAATCAATGAACGCGATGAATGGGTTCGACGCTTCTACATTTTTTTCTGTTCTTGTTAATACTCCTCATGTTTATTTATTTATATATTTTTATCTTCAAAATAAATATCTCCCACGAAGATAAATTTCTTACTGTTCTAGTGCGTAGTAATCAACTTGACGTTAGATTACGATATGATAGTCTGAGGGCGCTATACACGCAACTACGAGTAATCGTCAAACCAGAGAAAAACGATCAACACCGGAGTCACAGGGCGTACTAGGGCACCAGGGAAGTATGACCTATGATTTGATTTTTTTTTTTCTAAATAAAAAATGTTAATAGTAAACACGTGTATCTGTATGGTTCAGTGCATGTTTGTCAACTAAACTGTATTTAAAATGTACAAAATGTATATACTTTTTACATGTTCGATACTTTTAACATGTTTGGAAGATTTTAACAACAGTTACATTTAATATTTTAACGTCGATGACTATTTTTGTTTATACAAATAATAAAAGTGGGGTCACCAGCCTTTTTTTTTCGAGAAATTGATGGTTGTATTTTAGTGGAAAGTCGCCATTTTGACACTATTATAACAGTTTTACCACAGGTTCCTGTGGCAGAGATATTATGCAATATCTCAAAATCTAGCCTGGTGACATAGGCTGAAAAATTCATTTATTGTTAATGATGGAGTACATTTTGTTGTTCTGAATTATTTAAAAAATCTGGGTTGTAAAAAGTGTCAACAAATGCAATTTTTCTTTAACATTGTGTTCTTAAGGAATTGTTCTAAAAATAGCAATTTTCAAGAAATTCTAGGACACGTTTCTCAAAAGCTTAACTGTAACACACAAAATAATGCTATTTCACTGTACCACGGGACATTAGCTTCATGATTGTACATAATAAACTAATGAACATTGTCATGCGATTTATGACTAATTTTGTCAAAAATTATGACTAGGCTTTTGAGGATATCGTTGGTTTTCTCACTTCCTCGTTCAGTATTGTATTTATGTAAGTTCATTATGTTCTGTGATATTTTGGAAATTTTAAGTGTGTTCAATACTACTAAAAATCAAATCTGAACTGTTATGGTATTGCTTTTATTGTCCAGTATAAACTGCTAGACCCTTCCCATGTAGCTCCGTATTCTCGTAGAACTGTCACCTAGCTAGACCAAGTCTCGCGAGACTTGAATTGGCACGAATTTCGAAAATGGCGTCGTTGGTGAGAATTCATCCTATGCAGCATATGACAGAAAATCGACAGAAAAATAACGTGCAAAGAGGTAAAGTAGACTATATTAAGTCAGCATTGTATCAATCCGTGGGCAAACCACTAGGTTTTCTCAAATGTATCATTTTTCACCTCTGGATGGTAGTGATCGTCATTATTTTTTTCTCAGAACTCGCCCGGCCCTACTGTCCGCGAACGGCGTTGTACGTCTTCGTAGTTTCAGCGTAAACACTAATAGTTTTATTTCTTGCAATGTTTCAGTAGTTATACTCATATTTACTACATGTGTACACTATCATATAATACGTTTAGAACTTAAGAAGTGCTCGTAGTCGTCCTTCGAAATTGAAACCGACGTAAACATAGTATATCGCTGTGCGTTTGGTTGTAAACAATGGACCCCTCCCTGGTGTCTACTGATGTAGACATGTGTTGCCCGTGATGATGGTACCAGTAACGACAATTCCATTAGCCAATCAAACTTTGTTTCACTTTAAATTGTGAAATTTATAAATATTATTTATAAAATTCAAGGTTGAAGTTGGTCTGTACTATTGTATATAGCGATATTCATAAGTGAGTAAATAAATTTGACAATTTTGTGCTACCCAGACATTAGTAACAAAATAAATGTATATTAGGTACTGCTATTGTGTTATTTTTATCTGTGCAGCAAATGCTGTTTAGTGATGCATTAAAATAAAACAAAAAATCACATTTTATATACCTGTGTTCTAAACATGTCACACAATCACATTGGTACATCAAATTAACAAAATATGTTTGGCCACAACCTTGAATAAGAAATTGATGTATATGTTAGTATCCTAAACTAGTAGCAATGTTAAATACGGTAACACAAACAACGAGTACATTTCTAGTTTTAGGACCTATCGTTAACAAAACAAAATCTTTGCTTTGTGTTCTAAAAAAAACATACTAGACTCTGTTAGATATATAACAATTATATTTCTTTAATTTCATCATTTCCTGACAGCAAAATTTTGTGTAAAAATGGTCTAAAATTGTTATTTATGTTTTATGTGGAAAAGCTAGAGCACTTCTGTTCCAACCATGTGCATCATGGAACATGTTGTCATCAACAAAGCCAACATGTCCTCTGATTGTTGTTTCATTTTGAGTATGCCAGAGAATACTTTCATGTACAAATGTAAGTCATTAATGTGTTTTTTTCACAGGTTTTGATTATAAATGTATTCAAGAATTTGTTATGAACCTTGTATGTATGATTAAAAATTGATGTTTTTCAAATTGTTCTTGTAGGCCCATTTCGTTTCACACAACTGTGGAATGACATCATCCATCACATGAAGGGACATGTGGAAGTTAAAAAACGACGACACTTGGTTAAAAACTATGATAACTGTTTTATTGGAACAGAAGCTGTTGATGTGCTGATGAATTACTTGCTCACAGTCAGTAATATTCTAAAATGTGATATAACCAGAGATAAAGCAATAAAGTTGGCACAGGTATGGCTGCTGTTTATTAATTGTGACAAATTACACATCATCTGCTGAAAGCTTCAATGGATAAAAATGTGACAGCAGGCAATGTGTTAAAGTGGGCAGTGAGGGGGTACCAAGATTACAAGCTTCATACACGGTGACAGCAGGCAACGTGTCAAAGTGGGCAGTGAGGGGGTACCAAGATTACAAGCTTCATACACGGTGACAGCAGGCAACGTGTCAAAGTGGACATTGAGGGGGTACCAAGATTACAAGCTTCACGCAGTCTGTACATAAGTTGATTGTTGGCACTTTGGCTAAATTAAGATTCTGATAATTATATAATTAATTCCTGCTTCATGCCAAATTTACTAGAATAGCATGTAGCTCCATGGCTCGAACTAATAACAAAATTAGTAGCCTAACTGAACTAATTCTATATATAGAAAAATAACCCTGCATGTGTTCGAAGCTAAGGGTGTATTAGCAATACAACATTTATTTCTTTATGTTTGCACTTTTCTTGCATGGCTTCAAGTACCTACTAAGTCTGATGGGAGTCAAATATTAGAATGTGACTACCAACTCCAAAAATGTTTTGCAGAGTTTTGAAGTACTTTTGTTGCCTAATACACAAAGTTCATGGGAAAAATTATAGTTGGCTTTTTGCTAAATCTGTCGCCAGTCAGAACAATGGTAATACCATCATGAGCTGTTTACATGATAATTGGAGAACAATAGTGCATTATTCATTGCATTTAGTACCCTGTGACAGTCTTCCACAGACAATGTGTTAAATGTGTCATCAGGTGACAATGACCTGACAATTAATGACTGTATGGTCGTGAACAATGGGATTTGATTTACTGTGAATTTAGATTTCTTTGGGTTTAAATTCAGAATATTTTCTAGAAATTAATTAAAGGCAGTCTGTGCATTATATAAAATTATCTGGCTTCCACTAATACTTTGACATGTCATCACTCTCAGTAAATTATACATTGTTATTAGCTAATGACTAAACAGGCTTCATCTTCTCAAAATTTTTTTTTTCAAAATCTTGGATAATAAATCATTTATTCATGGTGCAATTATTCAATGGCATAAAACAAACCCGATGCAAGCAAATTGGTGGCAAAATAAAATAAAAAGTTTGTGCCACTTTATTCTGTTGAATCTACCGGTAAAATTACATTTCTGGCATGCAGAAAAATACAGCACTAAAAGGCTTGAGGGGAAAAAACAAAACAAACAAACTTTAAAACAGAACTGTGACAAATCAATAAAGAGCACACAAAAAAATATGATAGTAACACTAATATGAGAAAAAAAAAACAGCTGGCATGACCACAAGAAGAAAAAAATATGGGTGGGTGGGATTGTGAAAATGACCCTAACAATTAAAAGCAATTAATAATCAAGTACCGGTACTCTTATTTGTCTTGTTTTTCCTTCACTTCTCTGCATATCACACTCCAGTGTGCTCTCTAAGCCAATATAATGCACTATCAATGCACACAGATTTGCTGTGAACCCAACTAGTTGTGCTAATTCATTGATGCAACAGAAAATCATAATTCATATAGTAATCTTGCAAAATCAAAGTTGTACCATAGTTATACAAAATAATTGTAAAAGGAAATCAGGGGTCACAACATGTTTGTCTGTGTCTCAAGTCACCTATACAGTCACATACAATTTAATTTTGCAACATGCTGACTCATCTTGGTTTTGAGGAATACCATTTTGAGTGAGGACCCCTACAAAATTAGTTTTGTTCCAGGGCACACTGTCAAACATACTTATTCAAGCAAGTATATCAATATCTGTATGCATGTAAATCTGTCATATAACCTTATTATTCATTGTGTTTATTTGTTTCAAATTTTTGTTTATATCCTCCTAGGCTTTAATGGACAACAATGTTTTTGAGTCTGTGTCATCTAGTTCGGCACAAACTGCTAAGAAGATATCATTTGAAGACAGTGCAAGTCATCTCTATAGGTATATGAAAGCTTATACATTGACAGTAGATAAGAACATAGATGTAGGATATGCACATGTGATGTAGGAAAAGCTGATATAGAATTAGAATATGAAGGCTTATACATTGACAGTAGATAAGAACATAGATGTAGGATATGCACATGTGATGTAGGAAAAGCTGATATAGAATTAGAATATGAAGGCTTATACATTGACAGTAGATAAGAACATAGATGTAGGATATCCACATGTGATGTAGGAAAAGCTGATATAGAATTAGAATATGAAGGCTTATACATTGACAGTAGATAAGAACATAGATGTAGGATATGCACATGTGATGTAGGAAAAGCTGATATAGAATTAGAATATGAAGGCTTATACATTGACAGTAGATAAGAACATAGATGTAGGATATCCACATGTGATGTAGGAAAAGCTGATATAGAATTAGAATATGAAGGCTTATACATTGACAGTAGATAAGAACATAGATGTAGGATATCCACATGTGATGTAGGAAAAGCTGATATAGAATTAGAATATGAAGGCTTATACATTGACAGTAGATAAGAACATAGATGTAGGATATGCACATGTGATGTAGGAAAAGCTGATATAGAATTAGAATAATATGACTCAATGTGAATTGTTACTTGTACCTGGTTGATACAGCGTTTGTAGAGTATGGAAGAATGAAATAATTTATCCTCAGTATTTTACCATAATATATTTATTGCTGTGACTTAATGCTACTTTGAATATAAATAGTAACACCAATATTGTTGTGTACCCTGGGTTGAATATAAATAGTAACACCAATATTGTTGTGTACCCTGGGTTGTTGTCATGTTTGATTGTGGTGTTATATCTCATATTTCTTGTGTTCACCATGGCATCATACCTTTTGAAATATTCATTACTTTCCACATGTACTAAAATTCATATTTTCCACTTTGATTGTATTTATTCATTTTATCACTCTATACTTGAAATAGGTTTTGTGAAGACAGCACTGAAGCCTCAACACAGAAAGTGGAAAAAACACCAAATACAAAGCGGAGAAGCCGACGAAGTAGTTTTGGATTGCCATCAAAACAGAAATTTGTTGTGAAGTAAGTACTACCGTAAAATCTGTATTAGAAGCCGCATCCCTAATAGAAGTCGCACCCATTCTTTTTGAATAATTGAGAACCAAAAAACCATCATTTCTCATATGTGTAGATGCTCTAATAGAAGCCGCATTTCCTTGGTTGCATTGTACCATTTTAATAGAAGCCGCGGCTTCTAATACAGATTTTACAGTATGTATTATTGTATATCTGCAGTTTTCTGTTGTTTTAGCTGTGGTTATATTGTGATACTTGATCCACAGAACGTAACTGAATTCACGGATAGCATCGTTCTTCTGCACCCTTGCCAGTTTTGATCATGTTCATCATGTGAAGTCAGCGAGGTGAGGTTTTGTTTTCATTAGAACATTCTATGGCAACTGTTGTGACCTATTTAATGTTTTAAAGGGGAACTAAATAGAGCCTATTTTGGTGTTTGTATTTATCAAGTTATGTATATTGATTATAAATTTGAAAAAAAAAATTAAAAAAAATGATTATCTTCAGAGTTATGATGATTTAAATATGAGAAACCATAAACCTGCGATGGACTTCCGTTTGCGCCATCTTGCCATAAAAATACGCCCTCATGAGGTATAAACAGGTAAGGTAACAAAGCATGATGACGAAATAGTATCTGATTAAATATAAGCAACTTAGGGAGCCATAGTTGGCTGGACAGGTGAATTGACTTTTAGTCTAGTTGTTCGACTTTTACGTTAATGTTATTTACAAAGCGTATCAACATACAAACATTATAGATGTGCGATTGATCGAGACAGGCATTTTGTTTTGTTTTTTGTCTAACTGTCTAATAAATGCTGTTTCCAGTACTACACTGTGCGGCGTGCAAATTATTCAAAGTATGGATGCTGGAGTATGCAATCTTGAGTTCGTAGGTAGTGGTGGAAACATTTTCGTCCATGTATTCAGGGGGCTGCAGTGGCAAATCATGGGATAATTGTCACAGGAACACCAAGCA